CAAGAAGGGTTCTAACCGGTCGGAATCCAAGAATATTGGATATCAAAAGAAACCCTTTTTGCAGGAAAATAAAAGAAATGATGGTGGATACTATTTCTTTTATTATGACGAAAAACGAAAAGTCCATATACCACTTCCGGAACCTACCAAGACGAAACCCGTATATCGACATAGGGTATTCGTCGATTGGAACCCCAAACCTAAGTCAAAAGTAAATTCCTTTTTGACTAGGTGAAAAATACCACTTGGGTTGTGGATAGTGGATGCTCGAGACACATGACCGGAACAAGAGGATGGTTCACAAATCTCAAAGAGAAAAGTCATGGACATGTGACTCTTGGAGACAAATCTCGGAAGAAGGTCATTGGTAAAGGTACGATAGGTATTTCAAGTGATTTTTCAATAAATGAAGTTTATCTTGTTGATGGCCTAAAATTTAATTTAATTAGCATAAGCCAACTTTGTGACAATGGCCACAAAATTGAGTTTAATGCAAATTCCTGCATTTTATATGGCCAAAGTAAAGATGAAATCATTTTTGAGGCTAAAATAGATGGAAACTTATACAAGTTCAATTCAAATGACTTAAGCAACTCAAAAATCACCTATCTTACTAGTTCACTTGAATTTTCAACATTATGACATCGTAGACTAGGACATGCTAGTTATGATCTTTTGAGAAAACTTTACTCAAAAGAACTTGTTGTTGGGCTACCAAAAATGAGCATACCTACTTCTCATTTTTGTGATGCTTGCTCTCTTGGAAAACAACATAAAGTTTTATTTAAGCCTATAAAAATGGTTTTAACGTCAAGGCCACTTGAACTATTACATATGAATTTATTTGGGCCCGTAGACGTTCAAAGCCTAGGTGGAGCTAGTTTTACTTTTGTAATTGTAGATGATTTTTCTCGTTATACTTGGACTATATTGCTTGCCAATAAAGATGATGCGTTTAATGCGTTTGTTAAGTTGTGCAAGAGAATCCAAAATGAGAAAGGTTATGAAATAAACTCCATTAAAAGTGATAGAGGAGGAGAATACCGGAATACCGATTTTGAGACATATTGTGATGAACACGGTATTTCTCACAACTTTTCGGCTCCTAGAACACCTCAACAAAATGGAGTCGTTGAAAGGAAAAATAGGACGTTGCAAGAAATGTCAAGGACCATGTTGAATGAACATAACCTACGTCAATATTTTTGGGGAGAAGCGGTCAACACAGCATGCTACGTTCTTAAACGGGTATTACTTAGACCTATTATTAAAAAGACTCCCTATGAACTTTGGAAAGGTAGAAAACCAAACATTTCCTATTTCAAAGTTTTTGGGTGCAAATGCTATATTTTGAATACCAAGGATCATTTAGGCAAATTTGAGCCTAAATCAAATGAATGAATTTTCCTTGGTTATTCAACAAATAGTAGAGCCTATAGGGTATATAATAAATCAAATCATAAAGTAGAAGAATCTATGCATGTAAAATTTGATGAAACCGATCCCTTTGGGTCGAGTAAGGTAATTGCAGGTTCAAATGGAGAAGAAGAGGAAGAAGAAGTCCTGGAAATTCCTGCGCAAGAAGAAGAACGTGCAAAGAAGGAACTACCGAAGGCATACAAACACTTGAAGAATCATCCAAGAGACAATATCATTGGAGATATTGAAAAGGGAGTTAGAACTAGGAACAATTACAATCTTTGTGCACACTATGCGTTTGTTAGTCAATTTGAACCCAAGAACGTAGAAGATGCGCTAAAAGATAGTGATTGGATTATATCCATGCAACTAGAGCTTGAGCAATTTGAACGCAACAAGGTTTGGGAACTAGTCGAAAGACCGGAAAACCGACCCGTTGTGGGCACTAAATGGGTCTTTAGAAACAAGCTTGATGAAAATGGTGTTATTATCACCAATAAAAGTTGACTTGTTGCTAAAGGCTATAGCCAAGTTGAAGGACTTGACTATGATGAAACTTTTGCTCCGGTTGCTAGGCTTGAATCTATTCGTATGTTATTAGCTTTTGCGAGTGCTCTTAATTTTAAACTTTTTCAAATGGATGTTAAAAGTGCTTTTCTCAATGGATGGTTAAAAGAAGAAGTTTATGTTGAACAACCTCCCGGTTTTGAAAATCCTGATTTTCCAAATCATGTTTTTAAACTTCATAAGGCTCTTTATGGACTCAAACAAGCTCCTAGAGCTTGGTATGAGCGGCTTACCGAACATCTTATCTCACATGGATTTGCAAAAGGAAAGATCGATTCCACACTTTTTGTCAAAACAAAAGGAAAAGATCTCATAATTGTGCAAATTTATGTTGATGATATTATTTTTGG